GTGAGTGTGTGTGTGAGTGTGTGTGTGTGAGTGTGTGTGTGAGTGAGTGTGTGTGTGTGTGTGAGTGTGAGTGTGTGAGTGTGTGTGTGAGTGCGTGTGTGTGTGTGTGTGTGTGTGTGTGTGTGCTGACTGCTCCGTCTGTGCAGCCACACAACCGGGCAACCGTGCTGCCAAAGACCCACTCGGGCGCGTGTGGCTAGAGTGCTTTTGAGACTAAATTTGGCCAGACACGCAGGGTTCCCTGATCCCTCTATTCAACAAGGAGCCTGTGTTTTCCCCCTTTTAGCACTGATTTCCTTTTGTGCCACTGTTTCTTTTTTTTTTTGGCCTTCGTACTGGGGAGCCAGAGTTTAGCTGACTTGACGCCACCAGTAGGTTAAGGGAAGGGGAAGGGGCTTTGCCCTCAGGGCGCCAGCTAGGCCGCTGCAGCGTTGGGGGCCTTCCTGTTCTCCCGTAGGGACAGCCGGGCTATGTTCCAGTGTGGCCTGATTTACCTAAGCAGCTGTGGTGGCTGCCCCCGATCTGGACATTTTGGAAGATTTCCTTCCTGAGAGCTTGCATGCGGACAGCAGGCAGGGGCTGTGTAGGCAAGCGCGGCAGCTTTCCCCGAGCGGCCCCCTCCCCCCACTCGTGGGGATCCCCGCGCTGTGTGTTCTTGGGCCTCCTGTCCTTGCCCTGGCCTGTCTGTGGTTGTGCTGGCACTGGCTGCTGGGCGTAGCCGCCCACATAACCCGAGGCCATCACGGCCCCTCCTAGACAGCGGGGCACACCCTTGGCCGACTGCAGCTGTGGGCCTTTCCAGTAATTTCCCCTGCGGGAGAGCCCGGCCTCGGCCCAGACCACGCCTACTTCCTGTGGCCCTGGAAACCTTGACTGCGCTCTGTGGAGCTAGAAAGGCCTGGCTGGCCTCACGGCCAGCTTGGGACAGCCCTGGGGGCCCTCCAGCTGTAGAGCTCCCTGCGGGGTCCCTGAGGCCCCTTGAGCCTGCGGCAGCCAGCACCTCCCTTCCCCAGGTAGACTCAGAAGCTTCCTGTGAGCCTCCCTGCATGCAGCCTCTGCCGGGGACCTCATCCACCCGGGGCGATGCCTTGTGTTTTCCTAGCAGTGCCGGCTTCAACTCCCGACTTCAGAGCCTGTTTTCTTATCGTTTAGTGGAATGAAAAATCGGGCCTGGATGCTGTCAGGCACTGTAAATACAAATTAGGTAGACCTGCTATTTATTCTGAATGTGAATTTGCTATTTATTCCAAATGTTAATTTTATGAGTTCAAAGATGCTGAACTTCCAGCCCAATAAAAGTTTGAATTGTTAGCGCCTGGTCCACTGTGAGTCGTTTGTTTTGTGTACTGGGTCTGCGTTGTCCTTTTCGAAACCCGCTTTCATCCGGGATTGGAGGCTGCTGCTCCTAAAGAGGTGAACAGAGTCTTAGATGAAAGAGACTCCAGTGGACCCCGACGGCTGTCCATCACCGAGAGAAGGTGGGCGCCGGTCGTGTTTTTCCCACCAGCGCCATCTCGTCCTGTCTTCAGGCTTATGCACGTCTTCTGGGCTTGGAGACCAGGAAAATCAAAGACCGAGACTGTGGGCTGGGCGGGGCACCCTGCTGACCCCACAGGGGGCCCCTCCTGGACCACAAAGAGCAGCGCTGGCCCACGGGCTTGTTATCAAATTACCAGGAAAGCTGGCAGCGCTTTCAGGGAAGGGAATAGGGAATTCGGAGCAAGGGCGATGAACGAATTCACTCTTGGGCTTTGGATAAATCTATAAATATTATGAAGACTTTAATAAACTTTTTAAAAATGTGTGAGTCGAGCGTCTTAAAATCCTTCCCTCTCGCTAGGCGGTACCTTAGCCGAATTCGCTTTGCTTTGGCTGTCTGGTGTCCCGCTTTTGGTCACTTGCCTCTGTGCTCCTGTGATGGTGGTGTTGGGGGACCGCCAGGGAGTCTGTGCCCTGAGACCTGTTCGGGTGATTTCCCAGAAACGTGGCCTTCTCCCGTCAGGGGTCTTGTCCTAGAGGAGGTGACGCTGTGCCCCTCTGCCCAGAACAGGGCTACTTCCCTTTCCTGGGGTTAGGAGAGAGCTCACCGACACCCCGGGCTTCTAGAACTTTGGACCTGGCTGATGCTCAGCCTGCTCTGTCCCCAGCAGGAGTCCCCGCCCTGGTCGGCACTGTGCCGAGGGGGATGCTGGGGTGGACGGAGGGATAGGACCCCAAACATCACACCATGTTGAAACACTGGCCTCTGGCCAGTGCCGGGAGGGACAGCCCCTGGCTTGGGGAGGAGGAACCTCAGTTCCCCACCCCAGCATGTAATCCTGCAGCTTTGTGTCTCGACTTCTTGTCTGTGAAAGTGCATGGATGGACCGGTGGCGTTCACCCGCTCCCCGGTTCCTGGACCGCCCCCCACCGGTGATCTCCAGAAGAAAGTGGTGTTGTCAAGGTTTGCCGCACCGCTGCGTGTGTCAGTTTTGTGCGGCTAGAGCACAGTTTGGCCACTCACCCACCGGATTATAGGCATTTCTGGTCGGTACGAATAATCCCGCAGTGGACAGGCATGCACACATCCTGGGTGAACACGTTTTTGTGCCCACGTGCTACCTGGGAGTGGGGTGCCGACCCTCTGTGAGGAGCTGTCCGTGTGCCCAGTGGCCCTGCTACTGTACACTTCCCCCCACCATGGCTGCCGCTTCCTGGTTCTCCACACCCGCCCCCGCACACGTTGTTTTCCGTGTTCCGGCCGGCGCGGGGGTGTGAGGTGCTGTCTCCCTGCTCCTTCACATCATGGAAAACACACAGAGAGAGCCGAGTTAGAAAGAGGCATGCGTAAGGTGGTGCCGAGTGGGTGGAAAGGCCCCAGTTATTCCACACGTGGGTTCTGCCTTCCAAGTTTGACCCCTTGCATCGTGGACAGTGTTTTTGTTTCCCAAGACAAACAAATTTGGATTTGTTTTTGGCTTTATTTCTGTTTCATAAACATCACTGAGCACATCTCCAGTGCCGGGTGCTGGGATACAAAGCAAGCGGGGCGAGCCCCACCTTGAGGAGCTTACAGTCCAGCAGGGCAGTGAGACCACAGCTGCCCAGGCTGTGGGGCGGAATGTAGTAAGCGACATCTGACGGTGGGAAGGAAGGGCTCAGTGGGGGGCATGGTCCGCTGGGGGCCACTTAGTCCTGGGTCCTTCATGCACAGAGACGAGACAGCCCCCAGCTGCACCCGAGAGATGAGGTGCCGCTGGTGAGCACGTCATACTCTGAAATGCCGAGCCGCTGCGTCCCCACGAGGCTGCCGGCTCCGAGGGTTCAGAGTTGAGGGCCGTCCTGAGGCTCCCACAGCCCCGATGGCGGTGGCTGATGGCCGGATGCTCCCATGGGACCCTCACAGCGCCCCGGTCCCCAGGAGGTCGCTGCTGTCCAGCTCCTGGAAGGAGAGGGCTGTGAGTCCCAGGCGCTGGGAGAAGGCACGCACCGTCCTGCCCTCGAATGCTTGTGGGCTGCGCATCCCTTGGCCTCCGGTCTGAGGCCTAATTGTGATTCCCCTGAGCACAGGAGGCGGGAGGCGGGAGGCGGGTGCTGGCGGTTAGGGCCGCCTCTCCTGGGGTCCACCACGTCCCTGCTGCCTGCTGCTGCTCGAATGGCCTTTATCAAATCACCCAACCCCACTGTCGCTGCCTCGTGTCTGAAGGGCCGCGCTAACATACGCCTTGAGGGGCGTGAGGGTCGGACACTTCAGAGGGCTGGAGTCACTCCATGCAGGTCGCAGACCCGTCCTGACCCGAGTGGCTCTGAGCTTTTAGGGTGAGGGCTTAGCTGCTTCCAGCTCTGATGGGCACTGAGGCGGGGGTAAGCAGCACGGTGCGAGTTAGCAGAGGTGTCTGCTGGGTGGAGTTAGTGGTGTCCAGGATGTCTGGATGGGCTACACATACTGTCCAGGGTCCCTGCCCTTCAGTACGAAAGACACAGCACTTAGCTGGGTGCTGGGGGTGCTGGTATCCCGCTCTCGGGATGTGCTGCCCGGTCTGAGCTAAGGCTCGGCTGGTCCCTGTTTCTAGGATGCCCTACCTGTGTCACGTGAGTCAGTCTTGCACAGAGCTGCCGGCCCCGGGGGGGACGGACAGACAGCTGGGAAGGACAGCAGCTATGACTGTGTGTCCTCTGCTTTGGTTTGTTTGTTTATTTGCTTGGTTTTTGGAGACAGGGTCTTGCTCTGTAATTAAGGCTGGCCTCACACTCACAGTGATCCTCCTGCCTCAGCCTCCCAAGCTCTGGGATTACAGGAATGCACCACCACGGCCCACTCCTCTGTTTTTTGAATAACATTGATTTCAACATAATGATGCTTACAGAAATAAACTCCTGGTTAATAAATGCAATTTAGTTGAACCCGCCCTTGAAATCTAGACCACTTTTACGTGGGTTAGGTTAAAAAATAAAGGAAGATTTGCAGCCTGGTTATTTTCCAATCTATGATAAAGATATTAAATCTGTAACCATAGGCACTAAGAGCTAGCCTCAGAGATGGACATTTGGTTTTCTTCACAAAAATAAAAACACCTGTTGCCAGTACAAGCTTACGCCCATGCAGGAAAACGTTTTCGTAATGCGTCAGTGCCAATTTGCAAAAATTCAACGCACGATAGCACAGTCTTGGGGGGATCACACAGGTGTGCGCACTAAACAATTTCCGCAGCTCTCTGGCTTTGGTTACTCCTGCAGGGGTTGCAGACCCACACCGGCCAGTGTCACAAATTTCTTTGGGGCTGAGGGTGCTCAGCCTGCTGGGTAACCAGACATGGGACACCCTGGCCATCGTTTTTCTGTTCGTTACACAAGGGGAGAAACGAAGTCTTTCCCTCATTTCTGAGTGCAGAACGGGTAGTGAGCCGCAGGCAGGCGTATCGTCCACAGCCAGCGGGAGCAGGGCGTCCCGCCGTGGGCCCCTGGGATGGAAGTCACGGGAAGCCCCATGGAATCTCAAGTATCACTAAGTCTAGAAATCAAGGGTCCCTTTTTAGAAGACAGGAGCGGGGTGCCCACCCAGAGAAGGAAGGGGCTCATTTAAGAAAACCAGCGCCCAAAGCAAGATGTAGTTCTGACAACAGAAAAATCAAGGTAAGTACACATTTAAAGTAGAGCTAAAGAAAAGTCAGTGTTGTACGGTCGTCTGTCTTATTCTGCACCTGCTGCCTCATAAATGTGGCAGAGTTCAGCGATTGGCACACCCCACCTGCTCCCGGGATTGGGCCCTGGCCACCTCTGCCCGTTCCGGACTTCCAACATGGCCCATGACAGACTCGGGAGCTCGGGACAGCCAGGCCAGCTTCGGGGCGGGGGTGAGCCCGTCTCCCACCGCTGCTGGGAGGCACAGGTGACAGTACCACTCACCTCGAGGGGGCCGAGGGGGTCACAGGGAGCCGGGGGAGGCGCCACGCTCCTGCTGTTGTACATGGGGTTCGAGATGTTCTCTGGGCGCTGCTTCCCGAGGGCTGCGAAGTTGATATCCTCTTCTGACTGTTCACGGAGACAAGCGCAAGGGCTGAGAGCTGGGACTGCACCAGGGCGGGAGCGTCTCGGGTTGGAGGCACAGAGGCCACTCCGCCTCGGGAGCTCTTTCTTTTAATAGCGCTTCACAGAGATAAGATTGATGTACAAGCACATGTACCAGTCTTTTGTGTTCAGCTCAGCTACGTCTGATGTCCACCCAGGGGTGACCACCCTTCGCATGGGCACAGAGGGCATTTCGGCCTCACCAGGAGGTGCTCCTGTGCCCTGCACTGCAGCACCCCTCCCCCCCGGGGGAGCCGCGGTGCCATTGTGAGTACAAGGAGCCTGGAGTGGTGTAGGCCTGACCTTGAACCTGATATCACAGGAGCTGTACAGCACGTCCACATTCGGTAAGATGATGTTGCTATGGGTTGAATGTCCTCATTACACCTACACTGAACTTTCATCTCACTGTGAGGATAAACTCAACCCATCTTCAGATTTGGAAGGTGACCAAGGTTAAAGGACGTTGCAAGGGTAGGGCCCTAATCAGATGGGACTGTGGCTCTACAGGAAGCAGGAGGCACCTGAGCCAGGATTCTCTCTTGCCAAGCAGTGCCCTAGACGATCTTGGGACTCTGCAAGTGTCCACTGGCAGAGACCCTCACCAAGCCCGGCCGCCTGCTGTTGGACCTCTCAGCTTCCTCAGCAGTGAGCCGCTTATAAATCACCTAGCCTGTGGTAGCCATGGCAACTGAAAATGGAGAATGTTTTTGAGATTTGCTCCTGAGCAGATGAATAAGCAAGGTAGCTGTTAGAGGCAGGGAGCTGCTGCTGGGGGTTCAGCACAGCCTTCCCCGGAGTATGCTGGGGAGCAGCAGTCCCAGGAGCAAGTGGGGTGCAGAGCACACAAGGAGAGATGCTCGACTGGACGAACGTCCCCGGAGCCCATTGTTAAAGCTTTTACCCTGACCACCGCACTGCTGGGAGGTGGTGGCTTTAGGAGTTGAGGCCTAGTGGGGAGGCAGTTAGATCACTGGGACCCTGGCAGCGCCTCTTCCTGTCTCTCTCTGCTTCCTAGCCGCCGTGAGGTGAGCGGCTTCCTCCTCCATGAGCTCCAACCAAGATGTTCTGCCTCGCTCCAGGCTCAAAGGCAGTGAGCTAAGAGAACAGGGGCTGAAGCTTCTGCAACTGTGAGTCACGAGGAGCACTTCCTCCAGCTAAGCCCGTGTCTCCTGTGTTTTATCACTGCGCTGGAAGGCTGACTGACACACAGGGGTTCCGCTGCTCAGGAGTGTGCCGCTGACCTGAGGACTCTGTTGTTCACCTGGAGGGAAGTGAGCCTTGCTGCCTGCATGGTGAGGCCTCTGGCTGTGTCTGTCTCTGACCCTGCTCCCCCAGCCTCAAGGCCTGGCTCTGAGCCCATGCTGGTCATAGTGGGCGCTGGTCCAGGGAATTCTTCCTGGTGAATGTAGCTGCCAAATGCCTGGCATGGGCACTGGAGGGCTGACACCACCAGCAGCCCTCATGGTCCCATCATGCCCTGTCTCAGCCAAGAGGCACCTGCTATGGGTCCTCCCAGGGGCAGGAACCCCACCCAGGGGCAGGAAGCATGGGGCGGGTAGCTGCTCCTGCTTCTGTGCCGGGTGCCGACCCCTGGCTGAGGTCTCTGAAGCAGGCAGTGAGCTGGAGAGCCCGGACCCAGGAGCGTGGTGTCTGAGGAGATCCTGCTGGGTCTGTCCCCTCTGTAACCCCTGCTGAAACGTGGCTGCCACTTTGGGGGGCAGGCCTTATGAGCTGATGGGGTTCATGCTTTTCTTGCAGTAGTAGTTCTCTAAGTTAGTTACCATGACAGCAGGGTGTTGCAGAGTGAGGCGTCTGTGCACGGCAGAAGTTAAGTGGCTCGAGGTCCTCACCAGAAGCTGACTATGCTCTTGGACCTCCTGGACTCCAGAACCATGAGCCAAATGAACCTCTGTTCTTCCTACCTCCTCGCTCTCAGGCATTCTGTTACAGCAACAGAAAACAGACTGAGCACCCCCGCATCACACTCCCACTTTTCTCTCTTACCTCAAAACGTTGGAAGCCAATGGCTCTGTGGGTTAGCCGGAAATAAGAATAGACAGCCAAAGCGATTGCTGCAGCGACCAGGATGATGCCAAAGAAGATCCCTGTCCCCAAGCCAGCGTGGGTCGAAGTCTGAACATAGATGGGAGAGTGGTTAGTTCTTAAAACCAGTGATTCCCCCAGAGAGGTATGCACGCTGACGCCCACCCTGCTGGCCCCAAGCGTCTTGGAGCAGTGGAGATAAAAATAACAAAAAGTTAACATGTGCTTAGGGCTTGGGTGGGGAGTAGCTGGATGGTACAGTGTTTGCCTAGCATTGTGAGGTCCTGGGTTCAATCACCAGTTTTGGAAAAATAAGTTTGTCCTCACTTTTGCCTGAGTCTATTTTAAGCCCTTTCCATGAAATAATCCATTTAAGTGTATAACAACCCAAAGAGATGGGAACATTTATTTTTTGCTCCCATTTTTACACAGACACACTGAGGCACAGAGGGGCTGAGTGCTTGCCCAACATCAGCTAGCTAATTAGTGGCAGAAGTGGGCTGTGAACCAGTTGGGCTTTGCAGCTCAGGTGCCTGGTTCCTCGCTGTGGGACTTTCCAGCAGCTCACCCTTTCCTCCTAGTTGCGGGAACAAGTTGCAATGCTGACGGTGATTGCCGCCCGGTTGGGTGTACCATGTGCTGTGTTCCAGGGCTTTATTTCTTAACTCACAGTCTTCCCCAAAACCCAGGGAGGGAGGCATTATACCTGTGCACATTTTGCAGATGAGAGGCCTGGGGCTCCTAGGTACTACCTAGGAGGGGGACCAAACCGAGCTCAGGGTTTCTCATACCCTTCCACCGGCTCCTCCACGGCCAGTCCTTCCCCCTTCGTTCACAAATCTGAACGCTGTGTGGGAGCCGGGGTGGGATGGGCCAGGCTGGGTGTTCCCAGAGCCAGTGCCCTGGAGCTGAGATGCTCCCATCTCCACAGGGGGAGGGTAGGAACAGCCCGTGCAGCAGCCGGCTCTGTCCAGGGTAGTGGACGCTGGACTTTGCCTCGCCCCTCACCAGGCACCCTGGGTGCTACTCACCGCTGGGGCAGGAGGTGCCTTTAAAGGCCTGGAAATAATGTGGATGATTCCATTGCTGGCAAAGATGTCCCACAGCACAATGGCTCTTCCATCCACAAACCTGGTCTCGTTCTAGGGAAAGAAGAGTGTTGGCAGCCATGTGACCATCTGCCCCTTTCCCTCCTTGTGGGCCAGCCTTCCTTGGAGGGCCTTCCAGGTATCATTCTTGGCAAGTCACAATCTTGGATCACTGGATCTTTACCACTGCCTATGATTTAGCTATTTTGGATGGTCATTGTGATCATCAAGGCCACCACCATAATCACCATCACCTTGGTCACCTTTGCCACCATCATGACCATCATCATCATCTTCATCACCACCACCACCATTATCACTATCACCGTCAATATCATCACTGTTGGCACCACCATAATCACCATCATCTTCACCGTCACTATTACCACCAACACCACAATTGTCCTCTTCAACATCATTATGATCACCATCACCACCACCATCACCATCATCACTTTCTTCAACATCATTATGATCATCACCATTGTCCTCATGACCACAATCAACATCACCACCACCACCATCCTCGTCACCATCATCACCACCACCATCAATATCACCACCATCGTCACCACCACCACCATCATCCTCATCACCACCATCATTATCACCGTCATCCTCCTCACCACCATGATCAACATCATCACCACCACCATCACCACCATCATCCTCACCACCATCATCACCACCACCATCATTCTCACCACCACCATCATCCTCACCACCCCCACCACCCTCACCACCATCCCCATGATCACCATCACCATCATCATCACCACCACCATCACCATCATCCTCACACCACCATCATCCTCACCACCACCATCATCAACATCACCACTCCTACCACCCTCATCACCATCCCCATGATCACCATCACCATCATCCTCACACCACCATCATCCTCACCACCACCATCATCAACATCACTACCATCATCCACCTCACTACCATGATCAACATAACCACCACCACCCTCATCACCATCCCCATGATCACCATCACCATCACCATCACCATCACCACCACCACCACCATCACCAACATCATCATCACCACCACCATCACCATCATCCTCACACCACCATCATCCTCACCACCACCATCAACATCACCATCATCCTCATCACCATCATCATCACCAATATCCTCCTCCTCAGAATGCACACCACCACTGTCATCCCTGCAGGAGTTCAGATAGGTCACTTCAAACATGCAGTTGGGCCTACTGAACTTTGAATTGAAGGCACCTGAGAAACAGCAGCTGCAGGCAGGGCTTTCTGACCTCCTCTTTCTACTTGAAAGCAGGTCCTAATATTTCCTACGAGAAAGGTGCTGCCTGGTGTCACCACCAGACTGGGAGTCGATAATGAAATGGGTCTGTGCCAACCTACTAAATAACCCTTATTTGCCACTATTTCTCCCACTTATTTCCTAATCACTGTGCCACAATTTATTGCTCTTAGCCCAAGCCCCTTTCTTTTCTCACTTCTGCATAAATTAATTTTTATTTATTTAAAAACTGTATAAGCTCTTGGTCTTAACTGCTTCTTTGGGTTTGCATTTTCCTTAGGAAGACTCCCTCATGCACATAAAATATTAGGTAAAAAAATTTCTTTTGTCTTTTTGAGACAGGGTCTCACTCTGCAGTTCAGGCTGGCCTTGAAGTCACTTTGTAGCCCACACTGGCCTCAAATTAGCAACAATCCTCCTGCCTCAGCCTCCTGAGTGCTGGTATTACAGGCATGTGCCACCATGCCTGGTTCAATGTCAGGTAAATTTTGTATGCTTTTGTTTTCTTCTGAATTTGTCTAATCCCAGATTAATTTCCAGGCCCAGACTCTAAGAGAGTGGAAGGAAAGTTTTCCTGCCCTGCATCACCATTATCAAGACAATCACCTCCCACCATCAATACCAACAACACTGCCACCCCTGCCCCCTGTACATGATGAGGAAATGGAGACAGAGGTTGGATAACTGAGTCCTTACAGCAGGGGGCAGACCTGGGACCCGTTCACGGACTTTGAAGTTAATGCCTGGGATAGACAAACAGGATTACAGACATGAAGGTCATTATTCTCTGCCATCTCCTGAAGACAGCCTGTTTCTAAGGGGCATGCAGTCAACACCATCCCCTGCCTGTTGGTGTCACGTTAACTTTCACCCTTACAATGGCTGAGCACCTCCCACGCGGCAGACACCTTGGCATGTGTATTGTACCCAGTGCTCCCACTAAGCCCGCAAGTTTTTTCGTACCAGACTGATCTGGTCACGGTCGGAGGTGATGAGCAGCTGGCTTCCCAGCCTAGTCTGCAGGGTGGTGCCATTGACAAGGTCATCGTAAAAGACCGTGCTGACAGTGATGAGGTGGTACTCGATATCTCGCCCAGACAGGGTCTGAGAGGAAAGGAGAAATGAGAAATCGTCCCAGTCTGACCAACAGCAGGAAATACCACATTTTGCTCAGGTGTTGGGCTGTCTCCCACTTATAGCTAGGGAGTGGGATGAAAAGTCATCCCTGTCTAGAGCAGAGCTCCCCACCGGTGCCCTGGGAAGAAAGGGGGTAGGGTAGGGTGTTGGGGTTCCCAGCCCTTGGGTGGTGGGTTGTGCCTGGGGCCGCCAGAGCCCACAGGTGAGCCTCCCCCCAGGTGTGGGGGTCGGAACAAATTTTGTTGTGGTTTCTATCTCGCTGTTCCCCTAAAGCTTCATCTGATCATCAGTGGGACCTTTGGGTTATGGGGCTCGCAGCTGACTTGAACCTGGCTGAGAAGCGCAGTCCCAGTGGGCGTGACTCAGAGGTTACATCTCCCTCCCGGCTGCTCCCATCTCTCTCCCTGGCTTCCCGCCTGCCATGCAACGAGCAACTCTCCTCTGCCCTGCCGCCCTGTCCTGGAGCCTCCGCACACTGTGAGCCAAGCTAAACCTCTCGCCCTTTAATTTTTGGGTGCTGGGCATTTTGTCCCAGCAAGGGGGGAAGTTGCTAAGACAGCTGTCAGTTCCTCTGTGCGCTGCATCGTGAGGAAGATTGGTGTGGGGGCTCGACTGGGTCAACGGCCCTGGCTTTTCACCTTTCCCTGTATTCTTGACTGATTTTTTTTTTTTTTTTTTTTTTTTTTTTTTTTTTTTT